AAAACTTCACAGCAAGCTTATGTCGCAAGTCGGGAAGATCGGCCCCGCAGATCGAGGACGTCGCCTGGACATGACAGGGCGATGTGGATATGATCCCTGTTTGCCGCTACATGGTGGTGACCGCAGGTGCCGCCATGTGGAACCAACACAAGATGGCTTCTCAAAGTGACAGAAGACAGGGCGGGTACGATCCCGTGCCCTCCACGGCACCACGCCTACTCTCCCTCCCCTAACACTGCTGGGCCCTACCTAACGCCTCCCTCCACACGCAAGCGTCGAGCTACTGGTATTCTCTGCTCTCCTCTGCTCTGTCCTGCTGTGGCGTGCTGCTCCCCCTTGCGAACTCGACATCGCCCACTCCTCAAAATACACACGCACACACACTCGCGCTGCGTCGTGGATTTCCTCGCTGCCGCCTTCTGCTTCTTCTTCGTCTCCTTCATCGACCTTCCAGAAATGCCGTGGTAGCCGGCACTCGCCAGTACCGGTCCCCCCCCCCCCCCGGGCCGAGAATGTTCTATTCAGATCCTTGGCTCTTACGTGGCTGGCCACATCGACAAATCTACGGGGTGGCGATTGCCACGCTGGTAATTTGCTTTGGAGGTAGTTCGCGTGATTGAAGTGTGATGGCTCTCGTGTAATAATACTATCCTACACGTGTATTAATGATAGTAAGGCAAAGTTGTAAAATCTTTACTACCTTTGTGTTTCATTTCTTAATCACATTTGAATAATTTTGTATAAGAAGTGACCAAAGTCCAATGATGCATGAGATTCTTATTATGTGAGACTTTGCAACTTTTTCATGTTTTCTTTATTACTTTTCTCTTTTCCTACATATGTAAGTATATATTAGTGTGAAATCATAACCCATGAATTTCTCACTTTTTTTTATAATTAAAATGAAAGCTATCCTGCTTAATTTTTTGTTGCTATTGTTTAAATTTTTCTAACCTGTTCTTTGTGTATGACAATTCAAAGTAGAAAAGGCTTTCAAAGTATAAGCAAAACAGTGTAAGATTTATATTTTTATCTTTATTTTTAAATAGGTTCTAAAAGATGGCAGTAATATATATATATATATATATATATATTACTGTTCTTCATGTGGTTAATTTAAATTCAAATATTTCCTCTAAATAAGCAATTTTCAAGTGAGTACCAATAATTTTGTGTTACAATACATGTATGCATATTTATTTATTTCTTCATTGTATTTTGTATGATGTTTTGGAGATTGAAGATTTCTTTGTATATGTTATTAAATTCACTTTGTAGATTTGATGCAACCAAGTTTTAATGTAAGAAAGGTAGATTCTAATAGATTTCCATATAATTGTTTTGCAACATCTTAATTAACACTTTTTAGAATTTATATTTTTACAATTACATGTACATTGCCAAGATTTCTAACACCATATAGGGAAATTTGATATATTATGAATGTTTGATTACAAACATAAATATAAAATTTAAATAATTACACATACTAAATATTTCATAGATTGACATAGACCAAAAGTCTTGCATATTTATCAAATGTTCTACAATATTGTCAATTATAAATATTTTCTATCTATGTATCTTGTAACACCAAATTTAAAATCTACAAAGTTAGATTAAAGATCTCATATTACTATCCATTCCTTAATTACATATTTGATTCCTTGAATATTTTATTGATTCTCAATTGGCACATGATGTATTTATATGATATACAAACAAAAAAGTATTTATTGTTATTGTGTTTTTTATTAATAGTGAAGTTAGGTTAATACATTTTTTATTTTAAAAATAATTATATTAAATTATTATGGTTGATATGAAGAAGAGTTGTATTAATTCATTTTAATTTTTATCACTACTACTAATATTTATTGTCAAAATAATAATAATAATAATAATAAATTTTAATGATCTTTGATATTTGAAAAAGAATTGATAAACCAAAAAAATAAAATAACATAGGTTATTAGATAGAATAGAAAATATTGTGGTTTTAAAACCAAATATATTATCAATTTTTTAATTCTATATATATATATATATATATATATAGATAGATATAGACACATATCAACTTAAACTTTTAAAATAAATCATCAAATAAATCATGATATGATGTGAACTTATTGACAATCCACAAAATAATTTTAGAACGTATGTAGATTTAAATTTCAATATATTCATTTTTTAACTAAAAAACTAGTTATATTAAATACTTAAACAATAAAAATTAATACAAGTTTTTGTTACATTGATACCTTCAAAATACCTTTATAATTCCATCACAATTAACAAAAACCACATATCCTAGACTTTAATACAAGATTCAGTTTGTTAATACATGATTCAATTCTTTTCATAGTCTTATAATAGTTAGACGTCATTATCTTATTAATTAGAAAAAAATATATTCTCAAAATATGTTGATTAATAATATTTACATACTATGCTTTTAAGTATATTATAATATATTTGTGTAATTTTTGGTATTGTTTTTAAATTCAAAAGTTCAAACTTAAGACCAAATATATGTAATTTATATTCTTTTATAGTAAATTCTAAATAAGCATGTTAAAAAAGTGAATTATGTTATTTAAAATAGAATCTCACTTAAACGCTTTATTTAAATCAAATTAATTTTAAATTATTACTCGTTTATTTCAATGATATTCTATAGGATTCTTAAAATTATGTACAAAATATTTTGATTCACGGATTGTAATTGGAATATAGTAAGAAGTAATATTCTAATACAACACAAGTAGCATCTAAAGACCAAAATAATTTATATTTTATTGATCATATTTTGTTAGTCATGTTATAATGAATTAGATTTTTTAAAGTAATGTGATATATATGTATATAGATAGGTAGATAGAGACCATGCTATTATCTAAAAATTTTGTCATTTTATTTTTAAATATTAAATATACAGACATCTATTACTTATAAGAATCTAAAAATGTACTTTAATATATTGAATTTATTTATTTTTGAATCTTGAATTTTATACATACACATGACGAGTTTTTTTTTTTTGAAAAAATATAATGAAATTTCACTCAAATGATTTATCTTCCTTCTTACATTTGCACCAAGTTAATCATGGTTTGGATGGCTTCAAAAAAATATATTTTCCTTCTTTTTTTTCTTTTTAAATAATGGCATGTTTATTGAAGAATATATCAAGTGATGTGTTTGTTTTTATTTCCTCTAATTGAAGAATGACAACAAAAAGATGTTGTATATAAAATTCGATTATCACAACTAATAAAAAAATTAATATTGAATTTGTGCTGTGTACTAATATTTATATAAAGGACTGTAAATAAAAATTTTAATTTTAGAAAAATATTATAATGAAAAATAATTTTGTAAGTATGTATTGTCTAAATTGGATTTTTTCTTTTTTTCTTTTTTATTAATATTTGGGTGAAATTATGAGTAGGAAAATGATGGTTTGGACTCTTTGTTTAGAAGTGATACAAAAATAAAGGCGTTAATAGGTTTTCGAAATTGAAATTAAGGAATACCTTTGTTTTGGGATGGTTATTGTAGTTTAATAAACTCAGAAATTCAAGTTCCATATGAGTATCCAGAATTTCTTAAGTACTTTGATTTGTGCTTGATTAGAAACATGATTTTAGATTAGTTGGCCATACTTCTTTCGTATTTATCAAATTAGAAAAAAAATAAATGGCACTGATTAGATATATCACACATTGCATTAACAAGAAAATGATACCAATTAATAAATAAATAAATAAATAAATAAATAAATAATAGTATAACAAGTAAAAGATATTATAATTATTATAAATGTAAAATGCAATATATTTGAAAATGTATTTCGTAAATAAGAATATTTTTTTAAATTATATAAAAAAATAAGCATGCAACCAATTAGGAATATATTGAGAATTTAGATTTATAATATTAAAATTTTGGTTTAAATTATATAAAATGCATTAACAATAGAGAAAATATGTGAACAGTATTTTGAAAGAAGTAAGGATGCATGTTGCTTCTAAAACATCATAGACATTATTATACCAATTTTTTTATTAAGTTCAAAGAGTAATTTATTTGTAATAATTATACTTTAAAAAAGATTCACGCTTCTAAAATCAGCAAAAAAATCACAGAATAGCTCATATATTATTAAGAGATTTAGAACGAAAAATAAAATCAAAACAAAATAAAATTTATATTTTTTTTATAATTTCAATCATTTCATATTGTAATTGAATCAAAATCATTCTAAAAATAATTAAAATATATGGATGTTTCATCACCAAAGAATTTGAAAATTTGAAAATATATAAATTATGAGATTAAAAATATAATTGTGTATTCTATTTTATGTAGGTTGAGGGTATATGATGTGCATAAAGGTATAAAAGGAAAGTCAAAAACTTAAAAATATACACTAATTAATTGTGTTAATATTCATTTGATTGAAAATTTTACTTAAAATTTATAATTTTAGCAAACTAGGTGTTATGTTAAATGTCTCTTTTACTCCAATTTAGTAAAATAATTTTAAAAAATTACTTCAAAAAAACTATTCCATCATTGAAAGTATTGGATACAATTTCATCATCTAAATTATACATCTTTAAAATGTTTTCGTTCAATCTGTAAAAATATGTAAACCCTATGGAGGTGCTGAAACGAATGAATAAACGGGTGGACTGATGAGTGAATTCTGTGGAGATCATGAGGAAAAAGCGGTGAAGAATGAGACCTGCGAGGGGCAGCAGGACGGGCAGGGATCACGGAGCGGGCAGACGGGCCGACGGGCAGAAGGAGGGGACCCCGCCAACGACGAGGTCAGCAAGTGGGGGGGGAGGGATCTCATCTGCAAGAGCGCGGAAGCTCAGGGGGTTCGAGGCCCCATAGCCAGACTTGGCCCCTAAAGCCACGAATCAAGGGGAAGGGGCCCCGTCACCACGGAGCCTCAATCAAGAGGGAAGAAGAAATATAAGCTCCACGCGCGCTTCGCATGCATCTACCACTTCCTCTTCTTCTTCGTTTTCTACGTCTTTCTGTCTGTCTGTCTATATTGTATTGTTTGCTTGCCTTGCTCGTTTGTGTCATCTTCTCCGCCTTCAAATTCACTATGGCAACTTCTGGATGCGGCAAGCCCGGTTGCCCCTGCGGCAGCGACTGCCAATGCAACTCTGGATGCTCGTGAGTGCTCTCCTTCACTCGGCTTCAGTCGGTGTGTTATGTTGTGTTATTATTTATTTATTTATTTATTTTGGTCGTCTGTTGTGTGTGAATTGGGGATTCTTTGTCCGGTTGAGGACAGGAGTTCTTTGACCGATGAGAGATTGGATTGGGGCTCGGGGCTTGGGGGTGACGGTGAGACCACATGCAGTCGAATACTGGAGCCTGTTATGGATTTCGCGGCTTTTACAACATAATCGATTTCAATTATAGCCTTTGGCCTCTTCTTTCTTTTCGTGTATAGTTAAAAGTTGCTCTCAGCGGAGATGTCTTCGAGGTTGTTGGACACCGTGGAGCAGATATAGGGTTGTTGTTGAGATGTTGAGTACCGGTAGGTTGCTTGTTGTAGACTTGCGATCATTAGTACGTTGAAGAGCGGTTGTAACCAAATTAGAGCGACTGAAACTATGCTTCTGATCTGCTACATCGAGTGTGATAGAGGTTTAACTGGTGTTTTTTTGTTGTATGATTCTCCAGGTGCTGCAGGACTTTGGTGAAGTAAGTTTCGTGTCCTCTCTGCTCTTTTACTAGCAGAAATTGTGTTTAAAAATGCATTATTAGGATGAGTCTAGTGTTCGTCAAGTGTGACTTAATTTGCACCTGCAACAGCCTTGAGCATGATCTATAAATACTGAAGTCTGTGCTGATGTGTTCCTACCAACAGCTTCAACGCAGAGAATGATTGCAAGTGCGGCCCCAACTGCAACTGCGCCGACTGCGCATGCCACAAGTGAGCCATCGATTTGGCTGCCTTAGTGAGGCGACTCCCTTGCGAAGACACGGGGTAGATGCTTCAGGCGGGAAGGGTAGTCCTGCTGGATTTCTTACATCTTTGCAGATTATCATGAAAAATCCCCCAAAAAATAGCATGACTATCCGTGTTGGGTTGCACAAGGATATGATAGAGGCAGTTATGTTTTAATAATTTGTTGCGGACCCATGCTGGTTCCTCGCTACTGTTGTGTATCCAAGTGTTTACAACTGATGAATTGGCATATCGTGTGATTTTTGTGTCTAGCTGGTGCTTCCGTGTTCGTGCGAGGTTTTACTTTTCTGCCTGCTGTGTCGTAGAAAGCTGCTACATATGGATGGTTTTTACATGTGTCTGCTACATTTCTCTCTAATCCGTTCGCGACTGTTCGACACTATCTTCGAGATGTGCTGTTGCTCTCTTAGTAGTTTTGTAATGAAATCGTCCATTCATGACACAGTGAACGCAATAGTCCATCATTTGCGTGCAAAATTACATTCTGAGTGCTCTCTTCTAAGTTAGCATTACGTCTAAGTTTCATCCTCCACGAAGTAGCTTGGATCTCCTAGCTTATTCTAGTACCGAATTTAAATGGCCCCGAATATGTAGATGGTAGCTTGATTCATCGTATCGTCCACTCAGGTATGTTATCTTCACTCAGATCTGTAAGAGTTTATCTCCTTACTCTGTCCTGTGGACACATGCACAGTCTTCCGTCTTGAATTATAATATCTCATACACCGTAATTGTGTCGCTCATGCATGTGCAGATATTATCTATCAGTAATTAATTCGTCATTTGTTAGGCACGTACTCCGAAAATTATTCCTATCCTAATCCGAATGATCAAGGGCTGACGATGCTTGAAATCAGAAGTCCAATAGAATCTTCCAATTCTTGGGTAGTTTCAACAGTGGTTTCGAAGCACGAGATTTTTTGTTAGAGAATAGGATATGCTTGGGTCGGATATAGATCAGAGATGTTTTCGTAAACACTCATTGGTGCACCTGGTCATCAATGAATCAATGACTGCTGCTCAGGGAACGATCTTAAACCGGATATCTGTAACATCATTGCTGTTCAAGCTTGCAATTCATTTTGCTCTTGGAGATTGGAACTTAGGGCCCGTCTCGTTAGGGTTGTGACCAGGAAGATTGGAGAAATGGAGCGAGGCTTTGGTGTACTTCCACATTCTGACTACAATGTAGCCAGCCATGGTTGACCATCTGATCATGATGCTATCGGAGTCTCACGGCGTTTACTTAACTGCATGCCACTCTGTCGAAAGAGGAAGGACTCCTGAGGGTGAGAGCTGGTGACGACAGCCCCACCTCGTTACTTTCATGCGCTCTTGCACCCGTAGGCTTTTGTAGTCGTCCAACATCATACTTGCTTTTGGCATTGCAACTACCTGACATCAAATCGTAATGTTGCACAATCGTGCCCGATGCGTTGAGACCAGGCCCGCAAACTGGTCTGGTTTTGAAGCCCCTCAGAAAGGCGTAGATTAACTGATTCTAGCACTTGCTGATTAAGTGGTTGCATTATCTTCATTGGACCCTTTGATCGGGTTCAATCATGGAGCAATTGAGTTGGCTTGAGGAAAAAGACCATTGGCCGAGTGCCTGATCGTCAGCACATGCCAGTGTTCTTGCATGGATGTAGAAGCTGGGTAATCGAATCCATTATTCATGCAATAAACAAGGTTTTTGATTTTTGCATATTCAAAGGTCTATGTGGTTTGTTTGCAAAGCTATGTCTAGTAGAAGATAACACTGTAGCAACAATTTTAGATCGTCCTCTGTTACTTCCGTTCCTGTCCTCCTCACTCAGGATCATCTGACTATAAATATGTACCTATCCTTTCTTATTAATCAAGTGAGTGTGTCATTATGGTTAGTAAGAGCTTGAGAGCTCTGGTGCCTGAATTCTCACATGGTATCAGAGCTAGTTATGTAGTTCCTTTCCTTGAGTATTCTCCCAAGCACTTGGTATCTTCCTTCCTAGAGGTCTCTGCTTACTTTCCAGACAAATTATCAGAAATTATTTCACATTTGTCTCCTTACTTGGATTCACTTTATTCTCTTCACTTGCATTTTCTTTGCTCAAAATTCCTCCCATCCAAATTCTATACGAGGTAGTTTAGACACTTTACTTCAACATTGATAAATTAGGTTGGTCCATTGGATAGCAAGATGTTAGAATTGTTAGACAACATCATTATTGAGAAGAATCTCTTTCATGGAAATAATTACAAAGAGTGAGCCTCGACAATGTAAAGTGTATTTCATGGAAAAGACTTGCTGTGCATTGTTTACACTATACCTATAGAATAGAATGCAACACCATTAATATTAATATTAGACAACAAAAGCAAGCAGCTTGCTAGAGACAATGATATCAAATTGATAACCATCAAATTGGATTTTTAGAAAAGAAAGAGTGAAAAAGCAACATCTTATCCCAAATTAGCCATCAACAACTCTATTGGCCCTCAAATCAAAGATATGGAAGACTCAAAAGAGACATGGTTGTAATTACAAAGAATCTTTTAAACTACTATCGTTATTGATGCAATAGTTGTCTTAAATAAATAAGAATCTCTTTGCATGAATGAAAATCAAAATATAGCCAAATTTAATATCATCTATATATTTTATTGTTAAAAAGATGAAAGAGATAGGACAACCATAGAATGATGTGGCTATTATTTACAAAATACTCAATTATTTGTTTATTTAATTTATAAATCTTACATAACTCTTGCAAAATAAAAATGAGATATTAAGCTTGGATAAACTTAGCAATCAATTAAAGATAGAAGAGAGTAATATAAAACTACATAATAACTCTAATTCAATACCAAAAGAAGAGCTTGATATGTAACTCCAATATGTAACTAACAAAAATCAATTTTGAGAGAGTTATGGTAGTCTAGATACTTCAATCTACATCCAACAACATTGATATATCTACTAAGTATTATATGATACTTTAGAGGAATTTCACCCAAAAAATGACATTAAGACTAACTTATTAATTAACCACTACATATGTTTATATATCATCGATGTAATAAAGAACACAACCATATCTCAAGGAATTATATAATATCAACCTCTATATAAATAATAAATTTTAATTTAGTATAATTTAGGGCTAATTATATCTTAGTATCATGAATATATATATATATATATATATTCTAATAATTATTTAGATAATATGAATAAAAAGAAATAAATTAAAATAAATAAATTTGATAATATCTTATAGAAAAGCTTCTTAGAAGGTTCATAGACACGGCTCTGATTTTATACATATTTATAGTTGATTAATAGGTTAGAAACTTGACCAACAAATTAACCAAATATTATATATGTTGACAAGTTGTGATACAAGCTAATTATGTTGTGTATATGTATATATATATATATATATATAGAAAGCTTGGCTTATAAGTTAAAACATATATCTTATAAGTTGGATATGTATTAGAGGTCGTATAGAACGTCACCATATAGCTCTTAAATAAATAGTATATATGGAGGCATAAATGAAGCCTTTTTTACTTTCATCAATGCCTTTCTAATATTTAGCGTCATTTTAAGACTTTCTAGCTTTTGATAATAGCTATTTGAGTTTAAAATTATACCATCTTTGAGCAATTTTTTTAGTATCTATCTTTTAGTACTATCTTTAGTATATTTGATATCAAATATTATTAAATTCTAAAATCTTACTTGCAATATGGTTTTGAATAACAAAGAACTTATCAATCAATTTTAGTATGGATTAAAAGATAATTTTAAAATTTCATAATCAACAATACTAAGAGCAAACTCATTGGAGCAATTTATTATTCAAGCCATTGCATGCAACAATCAATTCTTTGAAAGATGCCAAAAATAAAGATTTGATTGAACAAGTAGAAGTCAAATTATAGCAATAACTTCTAAGTTTGTAAAATCTCATTCATCAAGACTGAAATCTATGCAAAGTAACATAGTGTCATATTATAACATAACTATTAGGTGAAAAAGGAAAAAAAAAGTTATAATATAGAAGAGTATAAATAAAAATATTTTAGCAAATCATCTTAAAAATTTAGATAATAGACAAAGAAGTAATAAAAATTAATAAGTATTAAGATTGCTTTCTTAAAAAAAAAGATCTATTTACTTTATATGGCCTTAAATAAGACAAAATAAAGTAGAATAAGTAAATAAATCATATAAATATTTAAAAAAAAATTTAAGAATAGGTTTAGTAAAAAACTATTTAAAAATACTAAAAATTGATACTTGAAGAAGATTAATTGTGAATATAGATCAAAATTAGACCTTGATGCACAAAATTGAATACCTATAGCAATTCCAAGGTTCTTTGGTTGATCAATAATTTACAATCTTTTTAAGACAGTAAAAGAGTCTCTATAGCTTAGAAGGTAAAATTCCTAATCAACCTTCAACCTACTAACTATTAAGACAAGAAAATTAACTAAGAGGCTTTTATAAAAGTCATGTTTAAATATCTTGAATTATTATTGAACCAAGATAATTAGATATTAATTAGAAATTCAATTTCAATTATATTTTCACTATATAGTCATATCACATCACAACATCATACATGTTTGCACCATTAGGTAATCCAATAGCATATAAGTATCTTTATCAAAAAGCATCTATGTCAAGCTTGCCTTGATATTTAATAAACTACAAGTCAAATTAGAAAGTACATGACTAGATTGCAAATCCCTCATCTAAGAGCAATACAAATAATTTTATGGTACATCAAAGAAACATGGATCTATGGAGTTTTATATAAGAAATCAAGATTATCTCATATTTTTAGTTTTGTGGACAATGACTTGGCAAGGAATATCAAAGGTGTTCTACCTACTACAAGTTTTGTTTTTTTTCTTAGCAATAGATTGATAATGTGGATGTCAAAAAAGCAATCAAGTGTTGCATTATCTTCCATAGAAGCCAATTATGTGGCTATTTCATCACCTTGATATAAAAGCCACTAGTTAAAAATACTTACCATTGACTTATGAATGATTATTAAATAGTCAATTTTTATAAATTACAATAATAAAGCTTATATGAAGATAGCAAAAAATTCCAAGATTACTCCATGCAACAAACATAATTCAACTTCTTTCTATTATACAAAGAAAAAATTGGAACAACAAGAGATATATCTAAATTATATATCAATAATTAAATAAATTACTATTTTATTTATAAAGTATTTGATAAAAGGTTTATTTGAAAAATTTAGAGAAAAAATAATAAAAATAAGCTTTAAAAAGTCTTATGAGAATCTATTTTAAAAAAACAAAATTAAAACACTAAATTTTCTATTGCTTTATTCTTTTTACTTTGTAATTTATTAGCATAGTTATATGTAATTTTTACTTTCTATGTCCAAAATAATCATTGATAAAATATGATTAATATCTATCAATTAAAAAAAATTAACAATCTTAAAACCTAAAATCCTAATGTCTAAGTAATACTCAGCCTCTTTATACTTTTTGAAATTCTTAAGCTTTATGTTGTTGAAGCCATTTACTTGAACTTTGCAATTTTACCAAGAGAAATGGATATTAGGATGATAGCCTTGTCAAATGGCATAATATTTTCTAATGTTGGGCAATAGCAATAAACTCTCAATATGACAAACAACACATTGATTTAGATATGATTGCACATAATATTTTATAATGTTGGGCAATAGCAATAAACTCTCAACATGACAAACAATACATTGATTTAGATATGATTGCACAACAAAGGTTAAAACTTGTACATTATTCCTTGTAGTGGCAATTACATCAACAAAAACATCTTAGTCATCTCTAACATGATAATATGATAATGTCTATCAAAAAGGCAAGCATAAAAAAGAAGAAATAAATATGACAATCACAAAGATAACAAGCAATAAAATCTCCACATGAAAGAAATCCAAAACATAGATATTAACAAACCTTTTGTCAAGTAATTATAGAAATAGGAAATATAGCTATATATAATTTTAGTTTTTGGAGTATAATTAGAATTAGAACTCACCACAATTAGAGAATCCAACTATAGTTGGAGATCCTTCACAAATTGCATAGGAATCAACTTCACTTGCAACATTGCTTCGGAGACATTATCCTAAAGCAAACAAGATGGGAGTATGAGGGGAAAAACAAGTTCTTTTAAACTCTACTTCGCTCTCAAGAATCTATGCTCCAAAAGCTAGAGTCATTGATCAACAATTCTCAAAATTGTTTTACAATGAGAGAAGGTGTTAGAAGATAATATTGTAGCAACAGTTTTAGATCCTCCTCTGTTACATCCATTCCAATACACCTCACTGAGGATCACTTGAGTAAAAATATGTACCTCTCTTTTCTTATTAATCAAGTGAATGTGTTCTTTATGGTTAGTAAAACTTGAGAGCTCTAGTGTGTGAATTCTCATGTGTGCATTATTGGTTTGTAGATGATTCTGATAGAACCTGTTGGAAGGGTAGGTTTAGCAACAAGTTCTCCCACTAGACTGTACTTTCATTGATACAGGTGGGCATGACTTTTGTGGTTCTGCAAAAAGGAAGATGTAACTGAACTTAGGCCAAAAGCCTGAGATTGATAAGCCATGGCCCCTATTCATTTTCAGCTCTAGACACCCCATAACAATTGTTTTATAGAAGAATGAAAGTTATAAGCTGCCACACAAATTTATATGATGGGGAGGATTTCATCCATGAGACACCTCCACCTACAGGTAGACAAAGGACGCAAACAAGTTCTTTCACTAGCAAATTTTTTGCTTTTGTTTATCAACTGGACTATTAACTTTTCTTCACATGGAGATTTCTATGAAGTGGAAACGTCTCTAATGTTAGAAATTAATCGAAATCCAAATAAATTAATTGATGTGCTCAACTGCATGGATTTCAATTTATTTATTAGATATACATAGAAAGACAGTGAATTATCTTATTATTTACCTTTGTAAGACAATGATTAATCAGTCAAAAGTTTTTATTGTCTTGATTGTTGCATTAAAACTACACAAGATTAAAATATTAAAATACTTGGTACAACTATGATGATCAGATTATATTATTAACAACAAATGTCTTTTATTATTGTATATTTAATTGATATTAGTTAATTAAAAAAATAAATAAGTTATAAAAATAAACTTACAAACTTATGTTCAATTAATGAAAATTTAAGTCAGAGTTAAATAATTTTTATATTATATTTTTACAGGGAAAATAAAGAAGATATTAAAATATTGCATGAATGAGTTATCAAAACGTAATTTAACAATATTTGTTAAATAATTTTGTAAATAAGATAATATGAATCACATTTTAAAGATTATGTGTATGAAAATTAAACTTGATTTTTGACATCTAGAAATTATATTTGAAATCACAAGTATCAATCATTGGAGTTTTAAGATGATTGAAGTTTGAATATTTTTTAGTTACAATTGCTTCTGTTTATAATTGTAAGACTCAAATATAAAATTACAAGGTTAAGGTATTTTTCTACTCATTTTTTTCATAATAGTACATAAATTATACAAAAAGAAGAATGTGATATTCCTGTCTTCCTCTCATCTGGTAATTGGAATTTTCATCAAAGTAACACATGTTCTTCAATTCAACACTAAAAAACAATTACCTATACAAAAAAAAAAAAAAAAAAAAAAAAAATCCAACCCAATGATACTGATATTTATATTTTTCCCTTGCTGTTTACCTTTACTGTGGCCATGTCGCCCATATTGCAAAACCATGTCAATGTTTTACCTCCATTAATTTATCACCCTTGAAGAATTGAATATAAACGAATAAAAAAGTTGCAATACATTCACATATTTGCTCACATGAATAAATAAAAGGCCTTGGCCAGAGTGCACACCTCATTCTTTTATTCAATTACGTCAAAACTAAAGGTACAATGACTAACCAGGCATACAAAACTAAAAATGAAATAAAAACTTATAGACTTCATCATCTAAAACTTGGATTTTAGATCTGTTATTCAGAATTATTCTCATTATTCAGAATTTGGGTTTTAAAGAGACCGCAATTCAGTTCCCATGAAACCATTAGGATTTACTCATTCTCACCGATTACCAAAGAAAGGGGCCATCTGCCTCCCTGTTGCGGTGTGAACAGAGGTTACACCCACTAATTTCAATTTATTAACCGAAAAAAAAGCTTTAGAACACGTAATACAGTTTCGTCACAGAACGGCCATACCGCTGATGATGTTCCATTTCGGAACTGTCGAGCCCTAAAACACTGCACGTCCAACAGCACTAAGAGGCGCTGGAGCAACTCAAGAGTCCTCTTTTCAGCGTTTTGCACCTCCCCTCGCGTCGTCGGACGTGGGCTTCGCTGCTTGTCAAGCCAGCTCGACCACCATGGCGGAGCAGGTACGATTTCTCTTTGCTCGGCTATAGCTTAGGGTTGTGTAGTTTTGTCCCTGAACAACGTCATGAGGCGGTAGTTGGGAGTATGCTGTGTATTAGACTCTAGGGTTTCGGTTCAGTACTGTCATCTCGATGTTGTTGTCTCATTTAGTCTTATGTTTCTGCTGGCTTCTATTTCGTTTTGCAGACTGAGAAGTCGTTCTTGAAGCAGCCCAAGGTCTTCCTCAGGTGGTATTTCGTTCCACTAACCCCCCCCCCTTTTTTTTCATTACCTCCATGTGCCGTTTTTCGTCGTTGGAGATCGCTGTCGTTGTGGAGATCATGTATTGAGCGGCATGCTTGTTTTTTTCTGTATATAGCACCAAGGCTTCTGCTAAAGGGAAGGCAGCAGGGAAGGCTGGTACCCGCTTCTGGAAGAACGTCGGTCTCGGTTTCAAGACTCCCCGTGAAGCAATTGAAGGTACGGATATGTGTTCAAGATCTCGTGCATACCAGTCTTGTCACCTGTCTCAATGATCTAATTTAGAGATCTCCCTCGGAGATTGTGATAAGTGCTTGGTTTCCACACCCTTCGGATTTTTTTTAGTATCCCACATTTTCCGTTGTTTTTGCAAGCCACGCTCTGATCATTTTGGTTTTGTTGTAATCCTACTATAGCAAGTGAATTAAAACGGTCTCTGGAGGTAGTCCCGGCTATTCCTTTATAATCCCGATGTATTTTTCTTATGAACAGAGCGCAGGCAGGTGTTCGGGTTCAACCCAGGCTATGTGACTTAATATTCTCCATCATTACTTATATCTGTGAACTACTCCTCTCCTGCAGGCACCTACATTGACAAGAAGTGCCCATTCACCGGAGATGTGTCCATTCGCGGCCGCATTCTCACCGGAACCGTGAACTGCACAAAAATGACTCGCACTATTACTATCCGACGGGATTACCTCCACTTCGTCAGGAAGTACCAAAGGTGACCTTGTCTAGCAATTAACTCGCTTAGAATTCAGTGCTACCGATTTCAGGATAGGAGTGTAGGGGAGAGTTGTACGTTGGTGCATTGGCAGACTATATTTTCTTTTTTTTATATTTTTAAACATCCTCAATAGTGTTTTCTGTCGAGTAATGGATGAGTTTCCTGCAGGTACGAGAAGAGACATTCAAACCTGGCTGCTCACGTCTCTCCTGCTTTCCGTGTGAAAGAGGGCGACAAGGTCATTATTGGCCAATGCAGGTAAGGCTTAATTTTGTTTGTTTGAAAGCGCGTACCAGAGACACAAAATTGAATGAATATTAGTTTCCTATTCCATGTGTTGTAGAATGTGTCTTCTTTGTATGATTGAATGAAGTTCTTTGCAACTACTGATTTATATTTTGAGTACTCCTAAGTACCTGTTTGTCCGTCCGTACACCGACCTAACCAATTGTTCTGACTATTCGTAGGCCTCTTTCGAAGACTGTGAGATTCAACGTCTTGAAGGTCATTCCCATGGGCGCATCAGACGGAGGGAACAAGAAGGTGTTTACTGCCGTATAGAGCCAGTGTGCTAGATGGGGATCTAATGTAGTTTGCCCGAGCAATGGGCGAGGACCTATTTTAGCCGCATGTTTCACATTATGCAAATGAGAATTTTTTTCGCTTCCTACGATGTTTCTCTCAAAGTCTATCCAATCACTGTTAAGTCGTTTTTCATACCCATTTGGACCATATGGATTGAATGGCTTTTCCGATTGTCAAGAACTTCATTTGCTTAACTTTCATGAAAGTTACCCCTGGAGAGTTTGGATACATGATTTGGTTATTACTAACTGTCTACACCTTCGTCCCAACCCACGTCTGTGTTTGAAGCAATGAAGCACTGTCTCCATCTTCAGAATGAGCCTTAATTGAGGCATCTGGCTTGTCTGAGGGGGTTTTAGATTAAGCATGCAATGCTATCTCTAATCTAAGAGCGATTAAATGTTATGAAAGTGCACAGTATATCCATTATTGAACACTTTGAGCAATTTCTTTTTACGAGTTTGGAGTCGAATTTAAATATGGTCATTACCTGCGTATGAAATGTTTACATCTTACGACTAATTGCGAATGACCTCCGCATATACGCGATCTAATACCTCTGCATTAATTGTGAAGTATATGTTTAACTTAGAGTAAATTTTCAATGTTTTATTGTTAATAATCTTAATTTTTCAAACTTACTCCTACTATGCTAAACAAAAAACAAAAAACATATATCATGATCATTCTCCAGGGATTATTTATGTGTATATCATCAAGATATACATACAATGAAATGCAGTTGAAAGAAGAATAATAGAATAATACTCAGTGTGAATGGGATGATACTCACTGTGATGTTTTGGAATTACAATACTAATTAAATACAGTGAAATTGTTATAATGCCAGTAAAAAAGCATATTAAAATTTTCCAAATAAACACTTTTCTCTTAAGTTACACAGTTCAATTTTCTAACACAACTTCTGAATGGTATGCCAAAATAATGTCTTTGGATGTAGAGAAATAGACATGTTGCTAATACAATTTACTGCTTTGTGCTTCATGTAAGTCTGAAGTTTAGCATTAACTCTTTATGAAGCTAAATTGCTTTGCTTATTAGGGGACATTAGAAAAAGAGAAAGAACTAAACAAAACACCTTGAAGAATCCGTGTGATTCCACAAGGTGTCAAAAATTTCTCCCACCAATAACACCACTTCTGAATACAAAGAAGAGAATCTAAAAAATAAATTATAAAACACAGTAAGAAGAAGAAGAAAAAAGAAAATGGGAAAACAATGCTACCCATGTCATGACCCCAGTACCTCCACCCATACCTTATTAGCACATAAACATTCCCTTCGTAAATGAACTTCTTCACTCCCTTCATTACAACATGTTACATTATGTAAAAATAGAGAATGGATAACTTTTCTCCAAGGTTCTCAGGAGTTCATTCACCGACCATTCTACTATAACTCCCTCAATTGAGACCTATTATGGGCATCAACACTAGACAATAGATAGGAAAACAATGAATCAATGCACGTTATGACATTGAACTGTTTAGTATCTTTTCCACCACGGGGATAATTTGCAAGGCAATGAAGAGGTGCTGCAAGTACCGTGTTTGCAGCACCGAGCTCTGCCTCAGTGAACATGCTGGAAAGTTGTACAATCGATCTGCATTTACATCTTGTCCTAGATGGGTTGGTTAATGAAGGATGTGATACAAAACCTTGAAAGCTGTTTACGATTGACTCGGGAGCTTGGTTTTCCTGCCCTTCGAGAGACCTAAGCAGAGCATAATGCAAAAAAACAATAAAAACAATAAAATAAAAATACCCTACTCCTCAAAAAGCCCCTCCAAGCTATCACGCGGTGTTGAATAGTGAAAGAGGTTGATATGAATCTGATGTTCTGTTCCAGCATGTAGGAGATAACCCACCTGTAATTTTCCTGAACCGAGAAATAGTGTCAATGATGTGAGCTGACTCTCTTTACAAGCTATGGAATGCCTGTCAAGCTTCCCGAATCGATGCTGATGCGTCCTTCGTTTATGCTCGGGCTTCATATAGAACCTCCAGAACCATATCAGCAATGACACCCAGTTTCAGTGATGCTTCAGTAAAGACCAAGAGAAGTTCAAAGAATATAAACAAAAGATGAAGTTAGATCGTCTCAGAGCTACTCAATTTTCTCCGATTTTTTTCTCTGAGGGTACTGCGTGTGAGCTTCCATCAAACCTGCTATATTGTTCTTGATAGTGCCGCAGATGGCCCCAAGAGCAAGCGTCGCAAACGGCTCCTCAATCAGCACTCCAACCTCCTCGATGCACAACAAGGCTGCGGCGTTGAAGAAGACGGCAGGGATTGTGAGCCATCTGCAGTGATCCCACAGCCCTAATGGCAGCGCTATATGCCATATGACCAGGAATCTTGAAGTGAGCCTCGTGTACGAGAGAGGTATTGGCGTTTTGAAAAGCCTCTCACATGCACCAACATTGTCATGGAATTGAGTCAAATTTTTGTCCATGCCCGATCTTTGCATATCAGTCATGGTGGTGCTATATACAAGCTCCGACATGATTTGCAACACGTAAATCGGTCGATGAGGGGCCGCCAGAAGGGATGCAAGCTGACTCTTCCAATAAACCCACCAATTCTTCCTCCAGATTCGCACCCTGACTCACATGGCTCTTCAAAGTGTATGGGAATGTCGCTACGTAATGCAAGAAGCTCTGCAATTTGGATCCATCGGCAGGAGAACCCATGAAAGTTAGGGCTTGCCTGCACACGTCTCGAGATCTGTTTACGTTCATGCCCCACACCTTCCGGGCTTCATCGAACCTCGCATAGGAGGCATTTGTCCTGAAAACGAGCAGAAGTGCAAGCGCGGGGGCTGTGAGGGAGAAAGGCAGACTCGAAATGTGCAGGAGAGGCAGCCACTGAGGCAAAGTCTGCGCTGAGATAGCTTCTTTGTAGGAGGTGACAACAGCTGCCACGCCTGTGAGAGAGAAGACTGGAACTCCGAGGGCTAAGATAACCCTCGAAGACACAATTGATGCCAGATGCCGCCCGTGTCTGATACTACTCCGATGTCGAAGCCAATCGTCGTGGTCGAATACCATCCTCCTGTATTCCATGGCCTCCTCCTTCTCCCTGTCCGCCACAGTCGGGTCCAGATAGCCACCAATTAGCTTTGCACTTGCACCAATTTTTTTCACCCTTCGCGAAGGTGCCGGACTTCTATCCTTCCTCAACTTTGAAGGCGCCAGAAACTGCTTGGAACAGAGGAAGACCGTTATGGCTGTAGCCATAGGGGTTCCATGGAAATCTCGACTCGCCAACATCACCATCCTGCGGCAATCATAAAATTCATGCGCGGCCCAAATCATATTATGAATTAGTCATGAATTCTTCTCACTGAGTTACGATTCTCCTTCTGAATTAATCTCAGCAGGCTAACCAACTCGGAACTCAAACAAAGGGAGTACCCAAGGTCAGCAATGCCAACTACAACAGGCTGTGTGGACTACACAAATGATCGCTCAATGTTTAACACGCTCACAGACGAATCGAACAATCCATCAAGTTAAAATAAAATAAAACAAATCGAACAAACAATCGAACCGTCCGAGGCTACTTCACAAGCACAAGCCAGCACGATCAGCAGTGAACAGAGGACTTCATCGCCGCTATAACAACAAACAAAACTGGATGGAAATCTCTCTGATCGAGTGCAACTAGGGTTTAGAGGAGATGCTGAGATTGAAGACCCACGATTGTCCACATTTCAGCGTGTTCATCTCGGCGTTCACGTGGACCACTAGGGCCTGACCTGGGGGGTTTTAAGTCCAACCGCCATCGCTCGCAGCTTGCTGCAACAAACTCCCAAAACCCACAAATGTTATGGAAATTCAAAGTCGGCAGATGACTGGGCAGCCCAGCATACTCGATCTCTCATCCTTCCCAACACTTATCCATGCGTAACGCTTATCCACTTATCCACTTATCGGCGACATGCTGAAACAACAAACCTTAACACACTTGCGCTTGTGCCTCAATTTTCGGCTGTTTTGCAACATGGGTTACGAAAACCACAACAATCACATGACAGTAGTAACTTCATTCACACAATCCCGATTCTCTTCTTTGCTAATCAACTCTTCATTTTCTACTCCAGCTGAAAACTTATCACCAGGTATCACCAGTATCCACTAGTATCCTACAGGATGCAAACTCCTCAACCCTAAATTGCAAAACATTGCCATGTTCTACAAGAGCATATTCAGTTTTAAGGCCACTGCGGAATATGATAAGTTCCGCTCATTTAGTGAAGGATGCGTGCAGGTAGGCGTAGTTCGAGCATTAGGTTCATCTCTGAGTGTTGTGTGCTTGCACTCAGAACATGTGTACGAATGTCATGACATTCAATTTGATATTCAGTCCTCTTTTCCTTTACTGAGTACGACATTAAGGTATAGTTTCCTTGTTATTAGTGTCTTTACAAGATCGGAAGTCCTAACGCCGGTACAATGTGCCGAATGGCGTGTTGATTGTGCACTTAACGCAGCCAACACTCCCGAGCAGTTCCTGAAGCTCACCAAAGAATGCAGGGACCGAGCTCAAAAGATGACTACGCCAAAAGCGTTTTCCAGCCCACCTAAAGTCAACTCTGAACTGTGCAAACATCTAGCTGATAAGCTGAAGTCGGTTGTCGAGAGGGCACAGTCGTTCCTCCACAGAAGGTTTCTTTCCCCTAAGGACACAGCAAAGTAGATGTTTTCAAGCTGTATTGTGCGTTAGCTAACATGGAAGTGAAAATCATCCGAAGTTGTTGCCAAGAGGAATGGATTCAAGCCGCCTTTCTGATGACAAATGTGCCGGAGCATAATCTGTCAACAAGTTTTGACTTAGAAATGTTAACACATTTATTTTCTGGAAGCTTGAGATCGACAGAAGTACTTCAGAGTATTTTTAAAGCTGAAGTTGCAATTATCAACAAGAAGGCATCACATGATAGAGAGTCGTTGGTAGGGGATGTGTATGAATTGCTCCGGATAAGTGAAAGTGGGAGCACGGAAACGTATGGGCTGGCTTCTCTTCTACTTGAGAGGCTTGATCCCCTAAGGAAGAACTTGGGAGGCAGCTCATCAAGCACATATTGCACGGACATGGAGAGCTTGAAA